CTCCTGGCACGAAAATGATGCCCCGTTCCCGTAGGGAAGATCGTGGGGTACGTGTTGGCGAAGATGGAAGAGGACGCCAATGTTCCGCCGCACGGGCACATCACCTCCCTCGCGGTTCTACGCACACACCGAAAGAGGTGGGCGTGGCTCGAGCGTTTTCGTTATCCGATGCGTGTGGGTTACACGACAAGGACTTCACGTATGTTTCGTCCGGCAGTATCGTAAAGTCTAGTTTGCCATCGTGGTCTTTAGGCAACAAACGCCAGGATCGAGACTCCGGGATGCTGCTGATGGCTGCAGGCATGAAGATGATCACTAGCGGGAGGGCACGAACTGGTTGATACATTTCGGCTTGTGCGGTTGGAACGGTTCCTTTCTTGTCTCGAAGGTCTCACAGACAATTTTGTGTGCAGCAGTCACGATTATGTACTGCTGTGAGAAGGTGGTGAGACGAGCGCTACGTGACGCTATCTCTTACGAACGGGAGGCTGTTGAGGATACTGACGCCGTATTTGCGGGTTTGCGTCGTGCTAGACATTCTTTACGTCATGCCCTGAGACCTGAGAGTCTGGCCGCTGATTCAGACACGCTCCCTTCCCCCCACCGGGTTGTACGTTTGCTTGCGCGTGTCCCACAACTCCGGCGAGCAGAGGTATAGCCACGCGCCTGATGCGCTGCAGCCAGTTGTGCATGCAGGAGTCCTTCGAAGCCCGCTACGTATCGCTGCACGTGCGCGAGAGCAACAGGGCGGCATTCCACCTTTACAAGACGACGCTGGGATATCAGGTAAGACCTCGCATTTACCGCGCAAAGGGGTAGTGGTTCCAAGACGACGTGTTCAGGAGAGAGGCCAGGCCGTCCAGGCATGGGCAGACGCCACGTCATGTTCCTGTCGTGTCTGGCGTAGGGTATTCCTATAAGTGAACGGATAACGAGTTGTGGACGTTCTTAAGATTGTACTCTGTGATGCGTGCCGTTGCGAACGCGATTGTTACTACATATATATATGGGTTGCGGTAGTAAACGTGATGTGTTCTATTATCTGATTTTGTGCATTAAGCGTCTGCATCGCAGTCAAGACCGTTGTGCTGTCACCATTCCCCCCATACACCTACCTTCTACCTAAGCGCGAGACACCCTCGCCTTTTTTATGGTTCTCATCTCCTCGCTGGCATTTGTCGATATCCTTGCGATTGAAACCGCATGTCCTCTTCGTCGGCCATCTTCTACTTTGTGGGGCATGACATTCTTCCAAAGGATGCTCTTTGTATTCAAGCTACCCCCCCGTCCCTCCAATATTGCTCGTCTAACCGCTAAGGTATGCAAACATGAGAGTACCTCCCCCCCCGCCCCGCCCCGCCCCGTCCCTCCATTCCTCCTCGTCCTCCTCCACCATTCTCTGAACACTTTCGCAAGCCGCTCTCCTCCCTTGTGTAGCCATGTCCCCTCGTTCATGTTCTTGACTGACATAATCCACCTTATCATGCCTACCGTTGCCGCCCGGCCACGCCAACCTTCAAAGATCAACGACGTCGAGAAGGGCTACTACGCCGACGGCGAAGACGCGTACGACATGCGCCTCCCCTTCCCCCAGAAGGAGCAGTCCCACGGGGCCATGACCCCGCTCAAGCAGGTGGTGGCCGTCAAGCGAAAGGAGGAGGCTCCCAAGGCGTCCGCGCCCGTGGCGGCGGGGGGGGCGGCGGTAGCGGCAAGAGAGGGCGAGGGTCAACGAGGGGAGGGGGGCGCAGAAGGTGTGGAAGAGATCTCGAGTAGCATGGGGGAGTTGTCGGTAGGTGCGGGTGCTGAAAAGGCATAGCGCGAGAGAAAAAAACTTTGACGAGGTTGTGTGAACTACGGGGGGTTTTGTGTTCATCCTCCTCCGCTACCTCCCCACAGACACGCACGTGTGTACGTTTTTCTCTGTGAAAGACATTGTTGTGCTGTGGCCGCTGGTGCTTTGTAGAGAGTCTACCCGAGAATGTGGAAGATTTGGTGCGATAGATTTCCTGCGGCACGCAGTATCTTGAGTTGAAAGGTGATCTTTTTAGCGAAGCGCTCGAGTTTTTTCTTTGTGGAAGGCATTGTTGTGCTGTGACGGCTTGCTTTTGGAGTTTCTAGGCGAGAATCTTGAAGGTTCGATGCGATTGGTGTTCTGCGGCACGCAGTATCTTGTGTTGGAAGCCGATCTTTTTTAGCGCTGGTGATCGTGAGAGCTCAATTGAGCGTCAGCACCAGTCTTGTATGAAGTCCTGCCAGCGAAGAAATCAGGGCGTTCCGGGGGGTTGCTTGTGCCGGTGGCTTCGCAGTTGATTACCACGATACGCCATACGATAGAGTCGGCCGAGTGTGCTCCGGCTTGTCAAATGTGATTGCATAAGGGCAGGTATTGTTAAGTAGAGACTTACGCCCATCGTCTCGCGATGTTGACGCAGTCGTCCTGCGACAATGTGCTGCTGTAGGGCGGTAGCAATGCCGGCGAAGGGCCCTGCGGGCAGGTTTGCCACAACAAGCTGTGAGCTCTGCGACCTGTTGTCATCAGGTTGTTCCGTCACGCCTGGATATTAACGGTACTGCTGTCTACAAAGCAAAACTGCGTTCCAATCTTTGTCACCTAGCATGCTGCTGCTTCTGCTGCTGCTGCTGCCGGGGGCTTGAATTGTGGACAGATCCAATGGAAATTTAGAGAGGTGGCAACCGCGATTGGTCCACGTTACATCGGTTCTTGAGGGGGGGGAACAACCAACAGTGCATGGACACAACGAGCGCACGATAAAACCTGGTGACACACTTGTGCTCGTTCTTTTCGTCCGCCTCTGTTTCTTTCTCTGTCGTACACGTTTTCACGAAGCCTTTTGAGTCGGGCTAGGGCGATGGATACGTGCAGAACAGGTTGTCGTAAGATGTCAGGGAAAGTTCGCAATGACTGCGGGAAGGGACACCCAAACAACCGTTGCCACCACCGTCATCATCAGTGTTGTGCTAAACATACATATGCAAAGACAGCACAAGGCGACGTTTTAATCGAAGTATTTTCTTGTGTTCGGAAAGGTGACGAAGGGTTAATCTCGAATGTTTAGTTTGTACGCGTATCCGTAGGGCGTGCAAGAGAAGGCATAAACTTGGGCGCCGTCGCGCCAGAGGTGCGCGCAACTGCACAGACAGATGGAGGGCGTCTCTGTGAACCCACTCAATTGCATGCACCATTTCATAGGCGAGTCCTCATTTCCCCTTTCGCATTTAAGTTGTTCAGACCGTTGTCGCGTCCTTCTCTCTCCCTATTTTTGAAAGGCGATGTTTCGAAGAATCCTGGTCACAAGCTATTGTCCACCAAACTTTGTCGTCCTGCCAAAACGGAAAGCATTTGATAAGCATGGCCTACGCACTGCGCCTGCTGTCTTCAGTTCTCCAAAAAAACTCCACCCAACAAATAAACACGACACACCTTTCTCTGATGCGCGAGAGGAATGTTCTCATCAGTACCGTCATCATGGCATTTGGGTCCTGCATTTTCTTTGTTGGAATATGATGAACGGTGGTTGGCGGTGTTTTATAGGCCAAGTGACAAAGAGTGGCGTTTTTTACCTCGCTCTACTACACTTTACCACCACCACGCACCACCGTCGTCAGCGAAGCATAGGATAGTCTATGCATACTTCTGTATTTGAAGGAAGCACAACAGCGACAAAAGCCGAAATCGCCCGTCTGCTTCCGCGTAGAGGTAGGTCATAACAATAATCCAGCAGAGGGGTAGCAACAACAGCAAGCAGAGCAGTGATGGTGGGGGACGAAACGAAAGAGCTCGCCGCACGATAACGGTCATCATCATCATCATTGTTGTTACTTCGAAGCGGATTGAATGTAACGAGAGGGCTCAGAAAAAAACAAGGTTCGTTGTTGCTTGTGTGCAAATACAAGAAGAAACGTTACAGGATTCAGATGTGTAGACGGAACATAGAAGACAATGGTTCCTTCTAGAAGGTGCGGAGAGATGTAATGTAACTCCCCGGGGAAGGATCAAACAGGTCTAATTGTAGCCCCTTCTTGTATACTGTAGAGGATCCTGCGCCCCTTCGTGTCATTCCTACCGATACCAGTGGCAACAGCTACTGCTAGTGCTGCTGTTCTGCAAGAGTAATAACAAGTGAGTTCTTCTTCACGGGTCTACCAGACTTCATCACACGTGCATACCACGACACTTGGCGTTGTCCGCTTATTCGTACGGTGTTGTCTGGTTTGGTTGTATCTTGGCACGGTTTGGTGCGTTAGCTGCTGCTGCAGTTTCTTCCGCTCTCTCAACCACAGCTTAGGTTTGCCTCGCTTATCGGTATGTCTCAACCTAGCGTCCGCTCTTCGGACTCTGCTTGGGCGAGTCCTGAGCATTTGGAACGTTCGCGTTCGCTGGTGTCTTCACCCCGCGTAGCGACCTTCGGGTCCCCAGCAGCTGGTCATCAGACCTCAGAGCTGCTGCTGTCTTCGGACAGTGCTCGTGCCGCTGCCGTTTCCTCGCTGGGATGCGCAAGGCCAACGCGTACGCCACTGCTCCTGTGGTGTACCCTGGCTGCAGCGGGCCGTCTTCGGAGGCCTCCGGTGGGTTTCAGCAGCCAGCGCCAGGCCGTGTCAAGAAGGCGCAAGCATCACACTCGAGTCAGGAGAATGGTCCTGGTAGCTCGGGAGAGGAGTCCGGCTGGAGCTCGGCCGGAGCATCGCGTCGGCCCCCGGAGCCCTCATCTTCTTCGGTGGGAGGGAGTCCCGAGCGGAAGGTGGCCACACGCAGCGTGGATGGCGCCCGTGGCCCCAAGGGCAAGAGCGGGAGCTGGTCGGGCTCGGACACCAGCTTGTCTCGCAAGCCGGGTCGCCAAAGGCAAGTAGTTCCGTCCCTTTTGGACGCGACTTCGGATGCTCGTTTCTTTTTACGTGACAGTTATGTTCGCCCGGCTTCGGCCCTCCCCGTTTCTCCGTAAACTGCTGCACCCCCTGTTTTTTCTACCGCTCACCATGCTGTAGATTCAGGAATCGTGCAGAACCCTGGGTTTTCGAACCCAACCCCCCCTCGGCGTTTGTACCGCCTGTGCCGGATGTTCCGCATGTTGTGTTGTCTTCGGGCCATGCTTCCCATGCTTCTTCGGTAGCTGCTGTCACACCCCCCGTTGTTATTGATGATCGTGTTTTGCCACTTTCTTCGAACATCGCACATGCTCGTCAAGCCACGATAGATACGACCGGTGCTAATGCACGCGCAGTTCATGTTGCTACAGTGAAACGCGCGTACATCACCCTTAACTTGAAAAAAGGCGAGAATGTCGCTACCATGCCCTTTCCTGCAACTCTGTTGCCGGGAGATGGCTACCAACAGCTTCTTCGCAAAACACGTACGGCTTTATTCGAGATTTTGTTGTGTGATGAGCAGAGTGATGGGTTGCACGGTACTGATTTCGTGCGTGGATGGGAACGACCCCTCGAAAAGAAACGTTTGAGTGCGATCGCCACTGACAAGCCCTCTACTGCCGATCTCGTCCTCTCCATCACTGATTACTTTCAGCAGGTGAAGAAGCTTGGACGGCGGCGCCACTGGACCAAAAGCTTTCAGATGCTGCTGCGTCATCTTGCATAGCAACTTGGTGTCGGCGACCGTCAAGGGTCGTTTTTGCGGCTACAACAATTTGGCGTAGCAGATGGTACTTCTTTCGCGGATTACCTTCGTGCTTTTCGTTTGTTGGTTTCTTCTGTGACTGGCTCTAAGCGTACATTGGCCCCTAGCGCATGGTGCTAGAAATAGTGCGGCATTCGGTCTGCAAGCAGTTTCCGAGTTTGTCTCCGATTTTGTACCCGGGTGCTCTGGCCACGGCCGTCACTCCCTTTGCGTCGATTGTGGATGCGTGGGAGGTATTCGCGCCTCTAGCGACAAATAAAACCCCGGCTATCGGTGGTTCATCTTTTTTTTCGTTGTCTTCGACGCGTGGCTCCTCGCAGCCTCCGCGGTCTCACCACCGCGCTCCCGCGCCTTCGGACCAGTGGGCATCAGGTTCTGCTCAGAACCCTGTAGTTTTGCCGGTACAATCGCACGATGCCGACCCATTCACACGCAACTTTAATTCTTGGCCTGCCTCGCAAGTCGATTGGTCTGATGTATAGGCTTTCACTTCTAGTTTTCGTAACACGGATGATCCTTTTTGTGGACCCCTTTGTTGACACAAGAGACTCGCTCGCAAGCCTTCCGCGACAACAGGAATCGCTGCCTGAACTGCGCGGGTGAAAACCATTCCATAAAGCAATGCGTTGCAACGTTCACGAATTCTAGTGGGCTGTTGAACCCCGAGTTGGGCCTCCTCAATGACTATTCTGCTGCTTTTAGACATTGGCAAGCCCGCATGCAGTCTTTTCGCCGAAAAAGTGCGTAAAACCGACAAAACAATCAGGGTGGACGCCACCAGCGCCATTCCTCTTCGTCCTCTCAGCGTCGAAACCACGCTGGGTAACGCCGTTCCGACGGTGGTTGGTTCCCTTCACACCCCAGACACAATCGCACAACAGTGGGCATGCCCCGGGAAATTCTGCGGGTAACTCTCACTCTCAGCAACGCACTTCGGTCAACACCCACCACACTGGTGCTCTGCCCCTCTATCAACCACGAACACATGCCCACACCGGTCCTTCGTCTGGCATCATGGTTTCGACCAACCACGATGCCCGTCAGCCTGGCAACTTTCAAAATGGTGATCGTTCTCGCAGCGGATGACTCATCGACGGTGGTTCGCCTTCCCTCGGACCGCCTTCAGGATCCTCGGGGACTTCGCCTCGTTCATCACAAGACGCTCGTGTGTCACGCTCTGTTTCCTCTTATACCTCGGTTTTATGCACCAACAACAATACTTAAGTATATGTTGCGCCTTCACACACTGTTGCCTCTAAAACTTCGGTTTAATGCAACAACAACAATACTTCGGTATCTGTTGCGCCATCACACACCATTGCCTCTAGCACTTCGGTCCTACGCAACGATAACCACACTTCGGTGAATGTTATCCCTCCGCACTCTTCTCCTTCTGGTACTTCGGTGCCACACACTAACAACCGTACTTCGGTATCCGTTGTTTCTCCAAGTGTCGATCAGGTAGACAAATGCCCTCGTCCCACCTTCTCCATCGCACTTATCGTCTGCCACCTCTGCGTCTCTGCCTCATCGGGTTGGCGCTCCGTCAGAAACTAACCAGTCTGGCGCGAGTGCTGTCTTGAGGCGCGGGAACAGAACCGTAAAACCTTCGGGGCCATTGAGTACCGCTTGTTTGTCGGGCATCGCTCGTTCGCTCCCCCCGTCGGTTGCAGATCAGACCGGCCGTAGCCATACGCTTTTGATGATTGAAGGGAATCGCCTGAATTGGTTACCTCGGGTGAATCTTCGGATACGCTCAACCCGTCTGTGCTCGCTTCCGTTGAGGGTTCGCCCTCGATTGTTGCACTGGTAGCTAACGTAACTGGTTCCGACCGGCAAGTTGCAGGGTCGAATTCGCCTGAGTTCGAATCACGATGTTCTCTTGGTCCTGACCGTCGAAAACCAACCAATTCCGCCGCGAGATATTTCGACCATGGATCGTCTTCACGCGTTCCATCCGTTCCGACGCACGCTCGCCCCACGGCGCCCAATACCAGGCCGTCGCGACCGACGTCGACCGTGTTGACACCACCGCTTCGGGAGGATCCTCCCGGAGTGACCACCGAACAGCCGGCGGTCTCGCGTACCTTGTCACGACGGAATGGCCAGGAGCACCATGCCCGGTTTAGTTCTTTAACTGACCCGGCCTTGGCGGCCGTTCCTAGCGAAAGTGGCTTCTTGAATGACACCTTACTAATCGTTTCTTCAGGTTTAGAATTGGGGCACACCCAGCATGATGTCGCTGGCCCAATTATTGCGAACAATCCGACTCCGGTCGATTCTTCACCGGTCTCTGGCATAGCTGAGACCGTCCCAATGGACGTACATGCCGTAAATTACAAAGTGGGCGTTTCGGCTGCCGCCGCTTCGGCTACGCCAGCTTCGGCTACACCACCTGCGGCTGCCACCTCAGCTTCGGCTGTCCACACTCCGGGTGTTTCGGCTCCTACAGTTCCCGCTGTCTTCGACCCGTCTAACGAGTATTGTATTCCTGACATGGTCTTCTTTTGGCAGCCCCCCTCTCCCTTTTCCCAGTGGACACCGTCGACATTTTTTGTGGTCGATGGAGTTGTATACTTGTGTGCTGAGCAGTTTTTCGCTGCGGAAAAGCCCGTCTTTTCGAAGACCATAGCGCTTTACAGAACATCGTGCGAGTGTCCGATCCTGCCTTAGACAAGAAGTTTGGCCGCGGTGGACGTGGTTTCGACCCATCTCTTTGGGAACACGAGCGCGAAAATATCGTACTCACTGGCTCTTACGCAAAATTTAGTCGAAACTCCGAGTTGCGCGATCATCTTCGTGGATCTGGCGGCAAAAACCTTGCCGAAGCCAGCCCCTATCACCGTACTTGGGGCATTGGCCTTCAAGCCGATGATCCTGACGCCCAATACACCTCTCGATGGCGCGGTCTCAATTTGTTGGGCAACGCCCTTCAACGAGTACGCAGTCTTTTGCGATGCAATGCCCCGCCACCCGAGCGCAGCTCTCGTTTACTGCCTTCGAGCTATCACGTTCTGACGTCATCTCAACATAACGCGGTCTATGAAGTTAGCCCTTCCATACACCAGCGCCTCCGGACGGCCTCACGCCCTCCATCGAGTGAACGACTCGCGTCATTTTCGCAATACGCTCCGGATGTTCCGTCGGATCATGACACCGCTGTTTGGACCGTGCGATCCGGGCGAACCCCGCCATCCTCTTCCTCTTCTTTGCTTGCTGAGCAAGGTCCGGATTTGGTTGGTGGTGTTGTTACCATCGATGATGGCTCTTTCACCACACAAATCCTCACTCACAGTGGTTTGGGTTCTGCTCAGTTTGGATGTGTTGCACTTTTGGACACGGGTTCCCCGCAGTCTTTTACTAGTGCATCCACGTGGGAATCCATAAAAGCCGCTTCGGCTGCTTTGTCATTGTCTGAGAAACAAACCCAACCTCGCTGTTGGGGTGGTTTCGGCAAATCTGCTCCGCCTCAAACTTTGACTGTTGTCCGTTCGAGCGTGCAGTTTCTCCGTAAGAGCCTTCCTACTTCCTCTCTCGCTGTTTGGGCATACGTTGTTCTCGATGGTGTTATGCATCATGATGTGTTCCCCGGAAGAGACAGTTGGATGCGGTTTTGCGACCGCTCTTACCCCACTTTGTTTGCGAAACGCCCTGGTGACCGTGTTTTGGTGAGCTTAGTTGGGCTCAGCATGACAGTTGCGGTGCCACCGGCTTGCTCGCGATTTGTCTTCCACAGATGGTAACAATCAACTTTGCTATGCTGGGAAACATTCCGTCCAACTTCACCCTGAACATAGCCTTGTTCCGATTAATTTGGTGCGCAGCGATGGCTCCCCAGCCCTCGTAGGTAGCTATCTCGTGAATATGCTTCCACAATGCGCTATGTTTTCTTCCGAGGAACATTTCGTGCAAAATGGTTGCCAACGAATCCCTCTCGCGGGCATCTCTTCTCTCGAACCAGGCGGCATTCTGGGTACAGCTTCGGCTCCCCTTCTTCGCGTGCCTCTCAGCGCTTTGTCTCGCCACAGTTTGAGCGATGGTTTTTAATCTGCGGCTCAAGGTCCCACCGCTGCTTCGGGCAACTGGGTTCCGGGTCCTGTTTCGACAGGTGGCATTGATCCGTCTGCCAAGCATCGCATTGATGACCCCGTTGTTGTGTAAAATTTGCACGAGCGACCCACGCCGTCGCACAGCGACAAAGAGGACCCTGGTTCTGCCGGTGCTTCTCTTTCATCGCCTCCGCCTGCTCTTCTCGAGCGGTTGACGTCCGAACAACGTCAGAGTTTTTCCCGCGTGCGGGATAAGCTCCCCTGCCATGTCCGTGATATTTCTTTCGATCTATATGGTCCGGGTTGGACTCCAGATGTCATCACTCAGCTTGGTAACGTCCTGTGCGAATATCATGATATCTTCTCGAGTTCCCCACCCGACTTCGGATCTTGTTCGCTTTGAAGCTTACAGTTCCTCCAGGCAGTGCACCCGTCACGTCTCGTCCATACCGCGTTAACCCCCCGGTGGCGAAACAAGTTGACGCGATCCTTGATCAATATGTTGCGGCTGGTCTGATCCAACATTCGACCTCGCCCTACTCGAGTCCTTTGGTAATCATACCGAAGAAACCCGGTGGTGTTCGCATCTCTGTCAATTAACGCAAGCTCGACAAGGTTTGCGCTTTGAGTCAGCTTCCGATGCCTCGAGTTGATGATACTTTGGACATAAAGTCTTCGTTCCACCAAATCACGGTTCACCGTGATACAATCCCTTTGACGGCGCTCGTGACGTCATCCGGGCTTTTTGGGTGGTTTAAGATGCCTCAAGGCAGTTCTGCTGCCCCTGGGTGGTTTTGCAAGGTTGTCAACGAAGCAATCAAAAACCTCAACGGTGTTTCATCGTACTTGAATGATTTGGCCGTTTTCGACGACAACCCTGCATATCATGTTGACGCCATGCGCGCTCTGTTTGAACATTGACGTACACACAACTTGAACCTCACCCCGCCGAAGGCCACCATCGGTGCTACAGAAGCGGACTTCCTCGGCCACACCATCTCTCCCGACGGTGTTCGGCCTAATGGGGCCAACGTTGCGGCCCTCACCAAAATGCCCACGCCCAAGGATGTTAAACAACTCCGCTCTCTTCTCGGCGGTCTCAGCTATTATCGCAAGTTCCTTCCCAAAGTGGCTACGC